GCCAAGATAGAAATAGTTCCAAGAAAAAATATGGAGGAGGGGTAGCCACATTTATAAACACAAGTTGGTCTACATCAAATCACGTTTGCTTCAATTATTCTAATGACAATATAGATTGCATAACCGTCAGGTGTCGCCCAAAACACTTAAGTAAATATTCTTATATATACATAACAAATATTTACATAACACCCAATTGTAGCCTTTCTAATATAGTTATGTTTGCAGATGAGTTTACTGAATTCGCTGCTCCTGCATTCGGAAACTCGTTGTCTATAGTCTGTGGTGATTTTAATTCATGTGATCACAGCTTTCTTACTTCACTTGGTCATGAGAATCTAGTCAAGTTTAATACACGTCTGGACAAATGACCGTGATGTATATGAAACCCGAAGGAGAGCTCCTTTGCTAAATTCTGACCACTGCATTATTCGTATTTTACCGAAAGTGTACGGCAAGTTACAACGAAAATTGTTTAGTCATTTAACAAAGAAGATACATGAACGTTCATATTCCCATGACAACATTCTAGCATTAAGAAGCATGTTGCATGATACCAACTGGGAACTATTTACTGACGATAAGTTGGATGCTACTGTCTCTAATATAACCGATTATCTGAAGTTTTGTTTGGAATTTGCTGTCCATATGAAACACTGTTTTCGAGATTTGACAGAATCTCTTCTGTGCAACTGAAAAAACTTAGAAGACAAAAAGAGAAGTTGTATAAGAATTGTGATAATACTGGTGTCCGTAAAATAAACACCCTTATAAAAATTGAAATAGAAAGGTTGAACAGACTATATAATGAAAAATTTTTATCATGTAAAAATCCTTCAAACATTTGGAAACTTTTCAATAAACTTACAAGTAAAAAACAAATGTCCGTTGATGCTTATTCTGATGTTAATGCTTTAAACAAATCATTTATCAAGAAACAAATTAATATGGTTGTACCTGATGTACCTAGTCAAGAAAATGGTCATTTTCAGGGTTTTAAAGAAAAGGATGTACTATTATGTTTGAAGTCATTAAATCCAACACACAGCCTTGGTCCAGATGGTGTACCAAGCATTCTTCTTCAAAAGTGTGCAGACATCTTGTGTCAAATCTTTAACGCATCATTTAACAGGGAAACGGTACCTGCTGACTGGAAAGAAATCAAGGTTGTACCTGTACAGAAATCATCTTCTGGAGCAGGTATAAAGTTTAGACCGTCGCTATAACATCTCCTTTTTTGAAAACTATGGAGAAACTTCTTTTGAATATTCTTAAACCTTCTTTAAAAGCTTTTAGTGACCCTAAGCAGTTTGCTTATAAGTGTGGAAGAAGTACATTAGATGCAGCCATTGTACTACACCACAATATTGTTTCCTGCCTTGATAAGGGTGCTAAGTTCGTTCGAACAGCTTTTTAGACTATACTGCAGCTTTCGACTCTGTTCCTAGGACACTTTTATTAGGAAAGATGATTTCAGCACAAACAGAGTCCTGGGCAACTAGATGGCTGTCTTCTTATTTTAAGGATAGGAAACAGCATACTGTTTTGGCTGGAAAGCGCTCCACTTCTCAGCTAACTGAAAGTGGTGTGCCTCAAGGTGCAGTACTTTCTCCATTTCTTTTCTCTTTCTTTTGCATGACCTTCCGAACTCACCCAAAGTTAACTTCATTAAGTATGCTGATGATCTGACCGTTTCTGTCCCTGTAGTTTCCACATCGGATTGTTCCCATATGAATGGCTTCTTAGCTGAAGTTAAGGATTGGTCTGGCTCAAATGGTCTTAAACTAAATCCAACTAAATGTAACACTGTTGATTTCAGCTTGAGAAGTGAAAAAGACATGCATGGATTGATTCAATCTCATGATTGTTGTAATATTGATGGTACCATGATTGAGAGTAAGTCAAGTGTTTCTTATCTTGGCATTAGTTTCTCTTCAAACCTTTGCTGGTCGTCTCATATTCTTATAGTTTCTAAGAAAGTTTTCCGTCTGACTTATTACATAAAGAAGTTGAGACACTCAGGTATAACTCAATCTCTTATCATACAATTTATTAATTCATGTGTTTTGCCCATCATTCTTTATTGTTCTCCATTATTCTTCCCTGGGCTACTCAAGAAAGACCATATAATACTACGAAGAACATTGAGGGCTGTAAGTAGGGTCAGTGCTATCCCTTTGACTCAACTAAATGACACTGTTGTCAATAGGCATATGAATTCTTGTAAACACTTAGCTAAAGTTATCTTATCTGATAGTGAACATCCTCTTTATTCACAATTGTTTCCTTGTATCTCTTCGGGTAAGACCAGAAGAAATTTTATAAACATTTATGCTCGTACTACAAAATATAAAAATTCGACCGTTCCATATTTGGCACGAGTATTGTGTGAAGAGACAAATATCAGAAAAGAACTTTTACAACTTTTGAATCAATAACTAAACTATAAAATGAAATGATGCATATTAATGCATGTGTTATTTGTTATATTATTTATTTATTATTCACTATGACCTAGCAATGGTCTGATTTTGTTGAGGTTTTATTTTTTCCTATTAACTATCAATATTTTAACATTTTATACATTTATATAATTATAAACAGAGCTAAACCATTGCAATATGTAAAAGAAACGCTGAAAATTCCATGCTGTAAATTGTTATTGTTGTGGAATAAAGTGATTATATTATTATTATTATTATTATATGTCGAAACCAAGTTCACTTTTAACACTTCGAAAAAATTTCGGCATTGGGCATACGATATTCATTATAATAAATGTGTTTTTTATTGCATAATGAATGAAAAGAAAATCGATATTGTTGTATTTACTGACGTTTCGCTATTAAATGATGGTGATGGCTTTATCGAAGTACTGAATGAATACAAGAATTATAAGCAATTGAAGAGCAGGCGAAGAAACAAAATAAAGTCATCAAAATCAAGAAACTTAGATCAAATCAAAACAAAAAAAGAGTTGTTACCATGGCAGTAGAAGTGGTTGAGTAATCTTCTTCTGCACGTCATAAAGAGCATCTCCAACAAACTTCAAACCTTTATTAATAGTTGTCTTTGCTCAATACTCAAGATCAGATGGCCGGACAGAAAAGATCACCAACAGTGACAGATCTCTGGGAGCGAACCAACCAGGAACCGATTGGGAAACAAATAGGCAGGAAGAAATGGAGATGGATTGGCCATACGCTGAGGAAACCATGAAGTGATATCACTAGACAAGCCATCGCTCGAGTGGAACCCGAAAGGCAAGCGGGTGGCGAGTTGGTCGTCAGTGCGAAGGTGACTTGGAAGAGGTCATGTGAAGAGGAGATAAAAACGTTTGGGCAGACTTGGAGCGGGGTGAAAAAGTTGGCAGAAAACCGAAGGCAATGGAGACTTGGGCGGCTGAAGCCCTATGTTCCTCTAGGAATTAAAGGATATAATTATAATAACTAGACTTTTAAAATCTCAGCTCATATGTAGCAAATGAATCCTCGTTCATCACTTTGGGGGCATTTTTCGTTGTCACGTTTGCAGATTTGTAAAGATAAGAAAACCATGTGTAGATTCTTGCATTTGATAAGTGTATAAAATTATAAAAGCAGCGTGTGTTTATGGAATGAAATTGATCATGACACCCGTGTTTATTTTGTGATTTCATGGGAGAGGAGGGTTTTATAAGCAGGTGAAATTCTGATTTAATCCGTCATACCTATTCAGTCAATTTGAATTCCACTTGATATGAAGTGCTTCTGATGAAATGAGACGTTCTTTGTGATTTCTGAAATGCTTTTTATGGATGATGATTTCAATATTGTCAAAATCAATTTTGTAGACAAGCTATGGCCGGCTGATGATTTTTCAAACGTTTTTAGTTCAACTGGATTTCTAGGTAGTCGAACAGATACAGCTCTAAGGTGTTTATTTCTTCTGATTTTGATTTCTGTCTAGAGACGTTTGTCCTATGTATATCGTATCACATTCCAAGCAGGCATTCTATTTTGTAGACACAATCAAAATTTTACCTGGTTACAACACACTCTTCTCCCATGAAGTGACAAAATCAGCACGAATGTGATAAGCAATTTCATTATTTAAACATATGCTGAGAAGTGTCCGAATCGACGTCCACATTTTAGCCGATTTCACCAACACCAGACATTATACTGTCGAATAACATAATATTCAACAACCTTCTACACTGACACTTCACAGATTTACTCCTTGGAAAACTTATTATGAGCTAACCCCACAAATTATCACATTTGACCACTTTCTGCTGCTTTATTGAATAAAAAATCCTCAGTGAAGGCTTCCCTGCACACAGACTTGTCTATTTAACACCGAATATATTAATCTCATTATGACAACTAACTCCCAATCCAACACACATGAATAACCAATCACCGTACTCATACCGCTCACCTACCTACCAAATGATGCGTTATCGCTGTATGATTTTATGACGATGAGACACCAAGCTAGAATTCACACGATAGTCTCGTATCGATTGTTCGGCATTTATTTTATGTCCCAGTAGTTAATATCCATTGAAACTAGTTAGTAAGATAGAGGGTTAACCAGCTAATATGCTTCCCACGTTGATTTTTTTTTTTTGATTTACAGCTTGATTCCACACTGTATTTTTGCTACAAGTGTGGAATTTTCAGCATGGATATCGGTAGCCCAAATTTTGCAGGCCGACCATAGATATCAGGTGTGCGCCAGCGTGGGCTCGAACCCCGGACCATGTGCACGACTAGACAGTAGAATTCAGTGCATTTTACTACAAGGCTTGTCTGCGAAACAGCCAGTTAAATGACAGTCTTCAGGATGAAGATGTTTTACAAGGCGGTACAGTAGAAACAAAGATTTTGTATCATTGCAACCATCAGACGAAATGTCCAACTGTCGCATGAATGAACGATGCATACACAGATACGTCTTTTCCATTTACTTCTCATAGTTATAGGCACAGATCAAGTGAAGTGGGATTGCTGGTTATGATCTGCGTTGAAAATTCTGCTATTCAAAAAGATATGCAATCACGGAAAGATGTGAGTTTAAGAATCGTTGGGAGTCATTGGATGGCTGTTTACTGGCACGGTTTATGGAGTACTCGATGATTCAAGTTTAAAAGCACTAGAGAGAATGAACTCTTGGAAATTAGGTGATGAACTGTTTTATTTGAAACCAGTCATTTGCAAATTCCACAGTTAGTTTGAATAGAATTTTAAAGGCTGAAATGTTGTCAGTCTTGTGCTCCATATCCACTAGGTGGGCTAATGTGGATCTCCTGATTGCCTGTATGTTTGCTTTCGTAAACCACGTTGCGCAATGCTTAAGAAGGCTAGCTGAGTTATTCTATCTATGTATCTGTCAGCACAGGTACAGTGAAATTTCTAAATGCATACTGAAATGTACTGAATCGTTAGTTTATCCTTCAACTGCATTGGAATGATGCAACGAGTGGTGAATTTTAGACACAGTCTTGAAACAAAGAATGTTTCAATGATTTTCTGATTTGTGATGCTAGTAAATCAGTGCCTTATAGGGAATAGTACATTGTTTATAGAAGAGACGCTTCCATTGATTTACTTATAATAGCCGGTGTCACTCAGGCTATTACTATTTCTCATTTTCCGTTTTGCTTCTTATTACTGGACTTGCTTCATCACTGTGACGAGGTCAATATTGTCAAGTAATTCGATGATCTGAGTATTTCCATCTCCGATTAATTCCTAATCAAACTGTTCCAGAATGAATAGAATTTTATCAGAAAGTGGTTTGTGGTCCTCTGTCGAATGATGTTAAGCTATATCCTTCCAAATGTCAGGCTGTTCATTTCACCTTCAGACACTAACGTGGTTTACATGCACTGGTTCGCTCTCCTGATCTTTCTATCTCGTGGAAGCCACTGATATTAAAACCAAGTGGAATGTTAAGTAGTTAAGATCACGTCTTTCCTCTGATCTTTTCAAGTCTTCCTACATTATGCTAATTTGTAGAAAGATATTCTGAGTAGTAGTCTGCGAAAGGAAGGTAAGGTAACAACTGAAGACAAGAGCCAGGCAATAGATTGTTTACTCAGAAAACCAAGAGGTGTTTATAGATTTTTATGTGCATTTTTATTAGCGTTATTGCCAGCAGAGAAGCAACGTCCTCTGATCGGTTGTCTTCTTGCTGAAGGTTATTCTGTCATCTCTCTGTGGCCGTTTCTTAGAAAGTCAGGCTATAAATCTGCGAATCGTATTTGCACGCGTTACGTCTGCTGTAATTGGTTGGCGAGTTCCTCAAGGTTAGGTTTTGTTATCGTTTTTCTTATGGGCCTGATTCCTGACGTAACACTGACGTAAATTGTTGTTTTGCAACTTTGTCTTTCACCACAGTATTACTTAGTCATTCCACAGAGTACTTCTCTTGGGTACTTGTCTCTTTTCATTTTCCAGGATGTCAGCTTACAAATCAGCTATTGCATGATCGTGCCATTTAGAGATACTAACGATCTACTGAAGTAAGCAGATGGTTCTTTGTACCTTCGGTAGGCTTTAATGGAAGAAAAGCCTGTCTTCATTCAACTAGATTTTAAAGGTGAAAATATCGCAGACATGTTCAACAGAGGACCGAGTTTGTCACTAGCCACAGCCTATCCTGCAGTCGACTCGGTTCCCCTCTGAAAATGTGTCGAAAACCCTACAAATCAAGGGAACAAACGCTTACAATAGTGCTATTGTACCAACAGAAGACGAAGGGCCAGGCAACAGATCCTTCATTAAGGAAATCAAAACAAATTTATAGATTTCCTTGTACATATTATAGATTATTGTCAGAAGAAAAACACAGTCTTCCCATTGGCTGTTTCTCACAGAAAGTTAACCTTGCATCTCTTTGCGGCTGTTTCCTGAGTATCAGATCATCTATATGTTAACTGTATCTACCTAAGCAAAGCCTTTGCTTTAATTTTTCTCACGACCAAATTGTGGACATAAACATTGACATAAATTACTGTCCACCAACTTTGACTAACAGCCAGTTCTCACCACACTATCACTAGACATCTCTTTGATACGGGTCATGAGGTGGAAATCGTGAATTCCTTTGAAAATACCAATACACAGAGAAGCTCAGTTCTCCTCAAGCTTGTCGAAGCAACTGCTGGCGAACACCTGATATCACTGGCTGGCCTGCAAAATTTAGGCCACCGATATCCCATGCTGAAAATTCCATACTTGTAGCAAAAATACAGTGTGGAATCAAGCTATAATAAAAAGAAATCAGTGTGTACCGTAATGGCGAGCTTCTTTCTTAGAAGAATGGTGACCTTATTGCAAACCTGACTGATAAAATTTAGTCTGCACCAAAGAAAGGACTAGAAACATTACGACAGCCACTAATTATTCTTCAATCAAAGTATCCATTACAGTCCTACAGGAGCTGAATCGTTAGCCCGACTATCTGGCTCAGTGGTAACGTCTCTGACTGTCTAGAACCCCACTGGGTGTTGAGGGTTCGAATCTCAAAAGGAGGGACATGAGCAATTCTTTCTAGGTCACAAGGCTAGCGAGCTTGTAGACCATTAAGCCACTGGGACCCAATCTAATAGCTATCAGCTCGTCGTGTAACGAGTAGATCCTGAGTCCGACCCCTATTGGTTGCGTACTGATGAAGAGTCTCAAAATAAACTGAAGATACAGCTGGCTGTCCAGTACTCCCTGTGGAGGGTTTTCCAATGGTCCCTTAACCAACGTCAGTTAATGATGAAATCCTCCAATCAAATCGATAATTTTAACACATCAATTTGTATTTATTGATTTTTATTCTTTTGCTTCTTTAATTTACCTAATTTTTCCAAGTGCTATTGAATACAAAGAAGTATTCTTCACTATCAGAACTGCGCACACACACATGCACACGAAATTCCATCTTTTCTTTTAAGTATATTTATGTTAGTTTACAGAGAGAGAGGTAGAGAGAGAGAAAGAGAATAGAAAGGAGTAATGCAATAAAATAACACTTCAACAATGTACAAGTTGTATGCAAGATAAACAGAAGATGATTCAGAAGTGAATCTGCTCATTCTTCAAGTAACGGCAGCCAGTTTCATCACGTGAAACACTTTACTATTGCAGAAACGATTACTACTACTCCCCCCTCTCCTTACACTTGTAGTTGCACTCCCACCCCCACTACTATGTATGACTATAAAAATAGCTGCTACTGTGATTACTAAGATAACCAGATTGTGATTCACTAATAACAATTAGAATAATAAATACCGCTTGCACACACACACACACGCACACTCACATGCACCCACGCACTCACGCACACACACACACTTTCATCATCATTTGTTTTGTTATCATATAAAGATTGTTACTTTATCAAGCATCCATTGGAATAAGGAATTCATTAACGCAAAGAACACATTCAATTTAATCTCTGTTCTTTCCATCGGATATCGGATAATCACAGTAAAGAATCAAACCTTGTAAGTCAGTTATTTATAAACTAAAATTGTATCTGCGTGGGGGATTTCATCATGAACTGACATCGGTTAAAGAACCATTGGAAAACCCGCCACAGAGAGTACTGGACAGTCGGCTGTTTCGTCAGTCTGGTTTGAGGCTCTTAATCAGTACGCACCCACTGGGGGTCGAACTCGGGATGTACTGGTTACAAGGCGAGCTGATGGCCATCGGGTTCCAGTCGATCTACCAGCTCGCTAGACTTGTGACCAGAAGGTCCTTGGTTCGAACCCTAGCCGGTGGGTGCGTACTATTAGGAGTCCTAAACTAGTACGAAACAGGTGGTTGTTCCGTACTCCCTGAAGGTTTCCCAATGGTTGTCTAAATGATGTCAGCCCATGATGAAATCCTACAACCAATGAAACAAAAATTCCTACAAAAAACCAATACTTGAAAATTATCGATTTGTTTATGGTTTCTTTTTGAAAGGATTTCATGGATTGGACCCGCTTTATTTCATACTGACTAACATTGAAATCAAGACGGAGATTTTCGTTGTATTTCGAAATTCTTCAGCTGAAAGTTTCTGCATGCTAATTCGTACGAGGACAGTTGACTAACACACGTTAGAAGGTCTACTGTAAAATTAGAAAAATAACAAGAGAAATCAATAAACAATAAACTTTTGAACATATTTAAGATGAAATTTAGCGATATTAAATGGTTGGAGACAATCAGCAACCAACTAATAGCATCCAATAAATGTGCACCGTGACGTTGAGCTACCTACAATAGTGGCCATATTGCAAACCCACGCCACAGGGTTCGAACGCAGGGCTTTCTGGTTACGAGGCTAGCAAGCTTGTTGACCATTAAGCCACTGGGACCCAATCCAATGGCCAGTCCACGAATTCTAACTTCTGCTAATTCACGGCATAGTGCGACCACTTCTCAATGTCTTTTTCGATGAGTTACTGCCTCACCATTTTTATTTATCAGCAGAAATGGCACAGATTTTATCAGTCATAAAAATATACAAAAAAGGAAGGATTTTAAGAGAAAACGACATAGAATGTTGCATGAGTCACATTGCTAAGGTATTCAATCAGACTGCGAATTAACCAACATTTTGCTAGGCTATTCACATAGATTAGAATTAATGTGGTCACATACTAATTCGTTTATAATCTTTTGAATGACTTATCAACTTGCCAATGAAAGTCAGTTTTCATGTGCAATAAATGAGTATTCTGCGTCAATCAGAACTAAAATAACATTTGTTCTTATGTATCTAAATACTCCTAGCAGTAACGCACCTTTTAAATATATATATATATAGTCAGAATTATAATTCAAGTGATGCGGCATTGTGCTTCTGTCCATCCCGAGCAAAATAATGGCAGTTAGCTCTCTACCTCACTAAACTTCATCGACTTTGAAAAGGCTTTCAGCAGATAACGTTGATAGAGATGTGATTTGGAAACTACTTCGCTACTACCAAGAGGTGCCGCCAACAATTATGCATCTCATTCAACAGTTGTACGATAATGCTGCATGCAAAGTAATTCACAGCGGAAAACTCACGGAATCGTTCAAGGTGAAGACGGGAGTATGACAAGACTGGCTGGCTGGCTGCCTACTATCTCCAATGATTTTCCTGATTACAGCAGACTAGATAGTGCGACAGACACACAGTGGACGACGAGGAAACAGGCATAAAATAGATTCTGATTTTCTACAAACTGGAAGATATGCAAGTAAAAAGCAACAAGTTAGCATAAGAAGCATCCAGTGAACATAGAGAAAACAGAGGTGATGAAGATTCTTGGACGATACCACCAACATCAACAACAACAGACAACAATCAGCCAGCATAAATGGGGGAAATCTGAAAGAAGCAACCTCCGTTACCTACCTGCCTGCCAACCTGGGAAGTATCGTTGCAACTACAGTCGGACGGAAATGATGACGATATCAAAGCGAGGATCGGGAAAGCAAGACAGGCTTTCACTTCTCTCAAGTCTGTGTGGAGATCAGCACCACTCAGCATGGGCAATAAGATGCGGATTTTCAGCTGCAATGTGAATTCAGTACTACTATACGGATCAGAGACTCGGCGGGTCACGAAGGGCACTTTAAAAAAACTATAGACGTTCATCACCTTCAGTTTTCTTTGCTCAATACTTCACTGAAGATCAGATGGCCGGCCAGAAAAGATCAGCAACAGGGATGTTTGGGAGCGAACCAACCCAGAAGGAACCAATCGTGCAAGAAATATGCAAGAAGAAATGGAGGTGGATCGGCTGGTCATACTCTGAGAAAACAAACCATCAAGTGAGCGACATCACGCACCAGGCCATTGCTCGAGTGGTACCTGAAAGGGAAGTGGCGAGTTGGTCGTCAATGCAAGGGCGATATGGAGGAGGTCACGCGAAGAGGAGATGGAAGCATGTGAGCATGCGCCTGAAGCCCTCTGTTCCTTCAGGAAATAAATGAGAAGGGAAATAAGAAGAATTATTTTCAAAATAATTCTGTAGGCAGACAGTAATGAATTACTGGATCTCTGCTTATCAAATCAAAGTCAGGTACAAACACACCGGGAATCATTCAACACCGATTGCAGATATCTGAGAAGTTCTACCACCAATCAAGGCATAAGGTACTAGACAGGTATAGGAACCGATTTCTAAAGTTGTGTGACTAGCTTTGATGGAACTATTATCTATAAATCGTGCTCAAAACTTCATCACCGCATGGATGTAGTACCATGCAAAACAAACTACCATAGATTTCACTTCGCTAAACATTTTTTTTGGAATTTTTATTCCTTTACGTCTCCAGTGAAACATAGGGTAGCTTCAAGCTACAGCTCAGAAGTTTCGGTAGTCATGGTGTTTATCTTTACGAGATGGGGTTGCTAGCCTCATGACCAGTCTTTCCTCTTTGCCAGTCTTTTTAATGGTTTAGCAAGGCAGAGAAGTGCGTCGGCCGGAGATCGAACCCCGAACCACACGAGGCATGGTTGGCAAGTATTCTACCGACGCACCTAGAATTTAATTGGATGGAGGATTTCATCATGAGCTGACATCGGTTAGAGAACCATTGGAAAACCAGCGAACAGTACTGAACAGCCAGCTATTTTGTCAGTCTAGTTTGGGACTCTTCACAGTACACACCCACCCCGCCAGGGGTCGAACCCAGGACCTTCTGGTTACAAGGCTAGTGAGCTATCTCGTAGACCATTAAGCCACTGGGACCCGATTCAATGGCCAGCCAGTCCATGAATTCTAACCTCCACCAATTCATGACAGAAAAAATCAGTACTTATAAAATTTAATGTCTATCTCTTCCAGTGTATTATATCACACACTATTTGACATTTAATGCTGAACACTTTTAATTTCATCTCTTTTTTTCTACTTTCATCAGTGTACGTACACAGAGAGTATCAGGTACATATATACAGACATAGACAGAGGTGTATCGTGTGTGTTTTGAGATCGTGAAAATGACCGGACTCCATCAACAACAACTGCAACACCAACACCACCAACTAAAACACCAAGAACCAGAAGAACAACGTATACTGTTACCTGATACAGATCAGAGTAATTCAGATAGTAATGAAAATGATTATATGAATACTGGAATGTTAAGTAAAAATTATTCAGAGACCAAAAAACTTTTATTAAAGGTAGGTAGCAAACATATTTAATTATAATTATTTTTTGCATTTATAATTAGGTCACTATTACTGTAGGTATTAAAATAATCACAACAATATTGATTACTGTCATATTCAATAATGTGTAAGTGATTCATACCAAACAGCGAGATAATAACAAGTTTAAAATAAATCTATTGATTGATAGGACAGCTATCAAAACTGTACTAAATGAACATCCATGGATATCACCTGTATTTGGGTAAGTTATAAAATTGTATCAAAAGATTGCTAATTTACGGTAGTTTTAATTTCCTTTTGATGTTAAGCTGTAGGATTATTATTATTCTTATTATTTCCTTTAATTCCTAGAGGAACATAGGGCTTCAGCCGCCCAAGTCTTCATTGCCTTCGGTTTTCTGCTAGAGTTTTCACCTGGTTCCAAGTCTGCACACATACTTTCATCTCCTCTTCACATCACCTCCTCCATGCCACCCCCGCACTGATGACCAACTCGCCGCTCCCTTTCGGGTTCCACTCGAGCAATGGCTTGTCTAGTGATGCCACCCACTTGACGGTTTCCTCAGAGTATGGCCAATCCATCCCCATTTCTTCCTGCCTATTTTTTCACAATCGGTTCCTGCTGGGTTGATTCGCTCATTACCAGAGATCCCTGTTGCTGATCTTTTCTGTTCGACCATCTGATCTTGAGTATTGAGCGAAGACAACTGTTAATGAAGGTCTGTAGTTTGTTTGAGGTGCTCTTTATGACTCTCTGGCCAAGTCTCTGATCCGTGTAATGAGTAGCAATGACTTCACATTAGAGTTGAAAATCCGGATTTGTTTTTGATGCTGAGTGCTGTTGACCTCCACACAGACTTAAGAGTAATGAAAGCTTGTCTTGCTTTTCCGATCCTTCCTTTGATATCCTCGTCAGTTCCGCCTGTAGTTGAAACGATGCTTCCCGGGTAGGTAAATGAGGTTGTTTCTTTCAGGTTCCTCCATTTATGCTGGCTGGTTTTCGTCTGTTGTTGTTGTTGCCGCTGCTGCTGGTGGTGTTGGTCAGGAATCCTCATCACCCCTGTTTTCTCAATGTTCACCTGAAGTCCAATCTTCTCTGAATGCTTCTTCTGCCAACTAGTTGCTTTTCACTTGCAGATCGTACTTCTAGGGATCAGTCCTATAGTACGTATCACCAGGACGTCAAACAAACTTGACCCTGGCTAACCAACTTTTGTGCGTTGGTGGCACAGTGGTTAGGACTCTCGCCGACCATGTACATGGTCCGAGGTTTGATCCCCTGCCGTCGCACACTTGATATCTATGGTCGGCCTGCGAAATTTGGGCTACCGATATCCATGCTGAAAATTCCATACTTGTTCCAAAAATACAGTGTGGAATCAAGCTGTAATCAAAATAATAAATAAATAAATAAAATCTTCCAGCTATAGATGACATCTTTTTACATGAGTTGTGTGCAAATTTGCATAATTCAGTCCCATTTTAAGAAACACTTCCATAATGCGCATATATCGCCCCAGTAGGTGGCAGAATAGCACATACTGATGTTCACAGTTTTTCTGAGTGATGTCAGTTTCCCTTGGATGAAGTGTAGATTTTTCATTAGGACATTTACTTTCAAAGACTAGATTATGTAGATTTGATCTGCCCCAAGTTTTATCACAGACTGATATCAGTTAGAAAACCATCTGAAACCTCAAAGCATTTTTTTCAGAGCCGTTTCGTCCTAGTTTGGGACTCTTTAACAGTATGTGCTCTGGACCTCACTAGGGATTGAATCCAACTTTCATCGAAAATTAAGGCCCATAGCTGTTTCCCTAGTGGGATCACGAATGATACTGTTGAAAAGTCTTAAACTGAGACAATGCAGCTGTCAGGTACTCTCTGGTTTTCCGTGGTTCTCTAACCGATGTCAATCCTCGACCAAATTTGAAATAAGTTATTTACTAACCCTCACTCCACTAAGCTATTTATGACTGAGCATTTTTGTTCATAACAAACCACTTTTTCTTGTTTGGGAAAAATATTGCGAAAAAAATTTATTTTGAAATTTTTGATTGGTAATTATTCGCCAATATATTCAGGGTACAGTTAATAGATTAAGCGAGCGTCCTAGCGACTGTGCCACCGAGGCACTAAGTGGCCCTAAAGAGGGTCGGTTTCACGTTCACTGGCTCTCAAGCCACATACCAATGAACTTAGATCTTCACCTTGTTGGTCTTTTTAGGCAGCAACAGAACCTGGATGTTAGACAAGACAAAACTCTGAGCGATTGTCAAACCACCGAGCAGTCAGTTCAATTCCTCATTGTTGCAGATGGTCACTTGCAAGTGACTAGGGATGATACGGGTCTCTTTGTTGTCACGGGAGGCATTACCAGTCAATTCAAGCATTTCAGCAGTCAGGTACTGGAGGATGGATGTCAAGTAGATGGGGGCTCCAGCATCGACGCATCCAGCGTAGTTAACCTTGCGCAACAGATAATGCACATGGACAACTGGAAACTGAAGACCAGCACGAGAAGATCGAGTTTTTGCCTTAGCGCGAGAATTTCCACCTTTACCTCGACTACTCATCATTGTACGTTGGGGTAGAGAAACGTGAATTACTAGTGTGTTTAGAACAGACCACAGTGAACAGCTGTTCATCGACTTTCAACCTCCAACCATGTGATACTCAGACTGTATCAGGCTGTGAGTTATTCACATGTTGTATGTGTGAGGCCCTTGGCACTAATATCACCGATTTGACTTCAGTGAAGTGGTTAAAGCAGGAATCAAAGTCGGGAACAGGTGGATGAATTTCCGATGACAGTACTATGTAGAAATCAAAGAAGTTAACAGGTATTTAGCAGCGAATCGGTAGGAATAAATAGCTTAATGCACATTCATGCTTATCCTGAACACAGTTGCATATTACTGAACTAGTGAGATCGGGGATGAGTACATCCTCCCCCCCAAACTGCTTCGCCTCTGAAACCTAACATCGAAATACACCATGTCCCCTAGAGTCTAATATAACTTACGTTAAAGCTTATGTAGTAGATGTGACTGATAACTTCAACATATGAGCAGCATCAATCAATATCTGACAGCTACTCAGGATACTTTATGAAGATTTCTATACTAAGTCACCGTTATCTGATGAAGTTAATTCTAGGAATTCAAGTGCCTCAAACACACGATCTCCAATCCCTTGAACATGCTCTACACTTGAGCCCAACAGATAATTCTTCCAAATGGAGTATAAAACAGATTAGTATTAAAATTCATTAAATTCTTTGAAGAAAAACACTGTAATTGAACAGTTTGAATCCAAAGACCTTCTGTAATAATTGCCAACTTGTTGACTGTAAGTAAATCTGACTTCCGGGAGTAGATTTCAGTGATGAGAATGCACTTACACTTTGACCTCTTCATTGTAACAACAGAAACATATCTCATTGTCTACTGTATGTTTCATTGATAACGTGGAATTTGCGCCCATTTCATATTTACCTTCTATGAAGTGTGCATATGTGTGTCGGTGGTACAGCGGTAGAATGCTTGCCAACCACTCCCCATGTGATCCGGAGTTCAATCCCCGGCCACCGACACCCTCCTCTACCTCGCTAAGGAAGTAATAAGAATGGTAACTAGGGGAGGTTGGGCATGAGACTAGCAACCCTATCGCATAAAATTAAATACCAGTGCTACCGAAACTTTACTGCTTTAGCTTCAAGCCACCGCATGTTCCACTGGGGACGAAAAGGAATTAAAAAACTTCAGTGGATGTGCCCGCACTCCTCAGTGATTAATGGTGTTCCCAATGAGGCTGAAACCCATTACGTGTCGTTTCAAATGCCAAGGTGCTATCCACTAGACTCCTTGGATCACGAAATCCACCACTTTAGGAACGGGTATCAGTCATAATTATTAGATTCAATTTGAACTTTCCTGCAGACTGACTTGACAATGGGTTTGAACCTCACTGGAAACATCATCAAATCAAATCATATGTGCGTATGTGAGATGTTCGTCAATAAATATTCTCTGACTTCATATTTGTAATTTTTTATACGCATATAAGATAATTACACTATCATCTAGTAAGTCCGTTTTTATCAACTGTCTAGACTTACTAAAGGGGAATGAAACTGGTGTTTATTTTTGTAGGTTCTCTACATTCAATATTATATTTCGACTAAGAATTCTTAGACTGTTAACACTGAGTTATTGTTATTATTCCTATGGGTTCCGAGTAGAACGTAGCGAGGGTTTCAACAACACATCTACACTTTGTTCTATTCTCTGCCGTCCTCTTCAGCTGTTTGCACGATTGACCAAACTCTCTCATCTCTTCTCGTCACACGATCTCCTCCATGTCATTCTCACACCAACGACCAACTTATCGCTTCCCGTTTGGATTCACTCAAGCGATGGTCTGTGTTGCGTGCAATATCATTCGGCGGCCTCCTCAATGTATACCCGATAAATCCATCGCCATTTTCTAATACATATTTTCAAAAGAATGGATGCTGAACCAAGAGTAATGTTTTCGATAACCTCTTCTTCATCAGGCTCTACAGTTATATATCCCATTTATAGTGAATGAATGAATTAGTGTTATGAATGACATTAATGTTGTTTAAATAACATCGAATCAATAATATCAATAGATTACAGTTCAGTAGCATCGACATAACAATAACCTCAATGTCAGAAAAACTAGGAAAGATAATATTACAAATTCATGAATTTATAGTGTCTACTGAAGGCCGACCAGGGCAGTAGTAGGGGCTAGCCGGCTGGATTTGCTTCTTTGAACACAGAGCACTGGTTGTCTGAGGCGAATTGCAATAACCTCTGCTGTTTGAAGCATGCGGTGTTTCGATGATGATTTTGGCAATTTATGAGGCATTCTGTAGATGATGATAGAGAAGGATTCTTCCACGCTGGCTGGCTTTGTGGCCGGTCAGTTTGCACCAGATGGTCCAATATTATTTTTTTTATTTTTGATTACAGCTTGATTCCAAACCGTATTTTTGGTACAAGTATGGAATTTTCAGCGTGGATATCGGTGGCCCAAAATTCGCAGGCCGACCATAGATATCAAGTGTGCGTCGGCGTGGGCTCGAACCCCGGACCATGTGCATGGTCGGCGAGAGTCCTAACCACTGTGCCACCGACGCCCAGCTGTTAATGGTTTTAACTACACCTCGACTTAGCCATATTGGGAGGTGTTCTCGAGTGAGCACAAAAACCAAGTCCCTAGAGATACGGCCGATATAACTCGCTCCTCCAAAAGCGTAGTCGAATTGGTAGATACAATTTGAAGTGGCTAGTCTAGTCTAGGTACTTCATCTTTCATTAGATGAATCACCAACGGTTATGTAGAGAATAAGACGTGTACTTCGCTAGCATTAAAAGTTCTTTGAATTGATTTTCTTAATTTCCTTGTAATTATCTCATTTGGTATATCGCCCTCGAATTTCAGTCGTATATAAAGAGGCTTCTTGTTTACGGATAGTGAGTAGTCCTTTTCCACCGCTTTCTTTGTCATGTGTTTCTTGATAAATTTGTCGGGATAGCTATTTTCAATCAAGGTATCATACACAATACTTAATTCATCTTCAGTTACTTCTTCTGGGCATATTGCTCTAACTAACTCTGTGGCTGAGGGTCTTTACTAAATTTTTTTGGCACTTGAGAGGAACGAAGCTGTGAAAGTACATATTTGTTGAGCGATCAGCTCTTGCTTGGTGGTTTGTTCCCAGCCAGATTTTCTTGTTACTTATTCTTTCTGGCCGGCCTGCCATTTGAAACTTAGTATGGAGCCAGTCAATGAAGTGGGCAGCTGTTGATGAAAGTTCGCTGCCTGCTGGAAATCTCCTTCGTGACTGACACACAGTACAAGTTTATGACCCGTATAGAAGGACCAACCTGACACTGATGTTTAAAATGTGATTCTTGTTCCTTATACCGACTGAATGTAGAAACTTTCCAAACTGGTTTCACGTTGATGAAGGCGTATCACATCGTATGAAGATACCTTATAGTAAGTGAACAACAAAATGCACTACAATTAAGAGAGCGAATTCCCTTCAGTGTTAAACCGATCGATCACTGTTGTTAAAGGGACTTATGACATAGTCTTGAATACCTCCCATCCTCTCTCTCTGTCCCTCTCACGTACACACACGCGCAAGACTGATCTCTTGGCTGAGTTCAGCATTACATTTCAAATCAATCTAAAATCCTGTTTTAAAATATAAATCAATACCAGATTAGCATTTATTATTGATTTATTGAATTTATTTGACTGATGCATGTATATATGTCATATTTTATCATTATCATTTTTTCAAGTATACAGGCTTTACTTTTCGGTGGACTACTCTTCTTTGTACCGAATTCATTGACCAGTAAACCATGGAATTATATTCTTCTCTCATTGATTGTGAGTACTATTATCTTTGTCACTATTATTATTATTATTACTGTTATTCATGGAAAATCCCCATTATAACATATAGAAAATCAAAACAAGTGATCCACTCAGCGAAGAAACTCTTTTCAACGACGAATTTATCATCAAACTGTACAATCGTATATATATGGTTTTTAAGAAGTTATATCCGGTGACGAAAGTGAATCATAGGTGTGAATGCATAAAATAACAGTAATAATAGTATGAAATGCAATTAAAAACTGAAATGTTTGAGATTATACTCATAGTTAAATGTCAAGTGGCAAAGCAAATTAATTTCATATATAGAATAATTCATAAGATGGATGCAACTTAGAAAAGGGTGTGCAATTATAGGATTAGTAGACAAATCGAATAAAACAAAAGCGATACGTAATATTGTGTGAAATTTAATGGCATAGAATTTATCGTTGTAAAAAAAGAATTGATTTAGAATGACAAGTGGAACAAGTGAAATAATACCAGGGACAGTTCAAAGTGAGAGTAGTAATAGTAACAATTGACGTAATAAGGAAGAGTATACAAATTGAATAGACAAAATGAAAAGAGAATGAAAAATTGGTAGAGCTAAAATATGATTGGGGATTAGCATACTTTAGCATAGAGGGATTAAGACCATGAAAGTTGGAGGGGTTGAATGAACTATTTTCTGTTCACAGAGACCTGGCTTTTCTGTTTCGATAGTCAAAGATGGCTTCAGCAATACAGATGAGTCGGGTACGTAGGGATTTGGGTAAATTACTATTTGCCTTGTAGATGACTTTAAAGGAGGAGGCTATGGAGATAGGGTAATCATTATTGACCAGATGTTCAATGATCGCACTTCTTATTGCTCCACTTCGACCTCTTGGTAACAACCAGGCAGGATAGTGTTCTCGCACCCTCTTGCACAAAACTCGAGTCGAACGACCGGTATACCTAGCTCCACACGAGCAGGTGAATTGATAAACACGCACATAGAGTTGGTCAACAGCGGTATCTTGTCCTTCAGGTTATTGAACATTAATGGTCGACTAGTAAAGGCTATTCTCAGAAATGCAGCAGGGAATGTTCTTTTCAGGAATTGTGTTATCCTTCGTTTCATGATATCGGAAGCTAAGTCCCCTTTGAATTCCAAGCTCATGTAAAGTATTTTCTTGGGTACGGTTGATAAGCCACATTTTGTAGGCTTTGAATGTATATTCTTATCTATAAAACGTGTTGGAAATCCATTTTCTACTAGAATTTATTGAAAAGTTTCTATTCGCCGATTCACTTGTTTTGATTACTGTTATTATCCCAAGAGAGTGATGCTATAGTCCATGGGATAATTAGATGTCAACAGGATTTGAAATCGTTGGTTCTGGGTGATTGGAAGCTTCATGAACATTTGGGTCGTAGTAAGTTTAGAATAAGTGGTCTTAGAATGAATGATTCGTCATCTGCTTCATTAGCTCAGCTACAAGAGCTAATTGCTTACCAGATCATCATATCACTGGATTCATTATCCCTGGTGATGCCCAGATGGAGGATAAATGAATGATACATTAGTCTGTTTGCCATCCGACAAGTTATTCATATAGGTCTGTTCTTTTCAATCTTAGTAACATGCTTCATTAGCAGTAGAGGGACAAGCAGGTTGTTAATTGGTTGTGAGACTAACTGAGATGGCTTCGGATTGACAGACTACTTTCTATGTAATATAGACAAAGATTGTGAAGCAGAATTCACGAAGCGTTGGATTGCTCACCCACTAATAGGGAACGTGAGCTGGGTTTAGATCGTCGTGAGACAGGTTGGTTGCACCCTACTAATGAGTACACTAATCAGTGAAGTACAATCTGGCTGTTGCTATGGTAATCCTGTTTAGTACAAGTACAGATAATTGGCATGTGTGCCTGGTCGAAAGGTCAATGGTGCGAGGCTACCATATGAGGCATTAAGACTGAACGCCTCTAAGTCTGAATCCCTTCCATATTTGCAACGGCACATTGCGTATCCGACACGTGGCTGGGCAAGCTTACGTATTCCTTTTGGTGTCTGGACTGGACCATGTGTTCTGCTAGGTCAATTAGGTCTGGTCTTACGCTAGAGCGATAACCATAAACTATGCTCCGGATTTCGGGGTGTAGGGGTCGACACGATATCTAACTGTGGTATGAGCGTGGGGATACTAAATCGTTTGTAGACGACTTAATGTTTTGTCGAGGAGACGTAAGTGCTCGAGCAGCTATCACACTGCGAGGCATTAATCCTATCCCAGCTTGACGTAAAGATTTCATCTTCAATCACTAAACTGACTATAGCTTCTTTTTTATTCCCTTAGTCACCATCACATATAGGAGTCATTTTATCAACTAAAATTTCACGGCTCATGAGACTTCTAGTTTTTGAGGAAAACGAAGTATGCGATGTTTTTCTTATCACGTGACATTAAAAATAACTGCTAATATCGTTTTTCGCGCGTATCCTCCACATGACTACAGTGTCTTGTTTACACACCGTAGCTGTAATGTCATCCAGACTCACATTTTTACTAATCATTGATTTTTGATAACTCACTGATTGATTCAGTCAATCAAGATTACTCAGAATAGTTGTAAAATAATTGGGCGCCGAGTGATAAGTAAATATTTGCTGTGCGTCGTTGGCACAGCGGTTAGGATGCTCGCCAACCATGCACATGGTCCGGGGTTCGATCCTCTGCCGACGCACACCCGATATCTATGGTTGGCCTGCAAAAATTAGGCCTACTGACATCGCATGCTGAAAATTCCATACCTGTACCAAAAATATACGGTGTGGAATCAAACTGTTAGAAAAAAATTACGTTTGTAAAATCTCAGCGAAATTGAAATATATAATTCTAACGTTTCTTCTGTTCGGCAATCTGGTCCAAACTTCTTCAGGGAAATTAATTGAAATTACCATAACAGAGGTTTATATATAAAAAGGACATCTCTTGGTGTTTCAAAAACTTTGTCCATTCATATAAGTCATGAGACAGACATCAAAGTGTAATAAACAAAATTGTATGATTGGTTGGAAGATTTCATCATCAACTGACATCGGTTAGAGAACGACTGGAAAACCCGCCACAGGAAGTATTGGAGAGTCCACTATTTCCTCTTCGTTTTGGACTCTTCGGCAGTATGCACCCAACTCGCCAGGGTTCGAACCCAGAAACTTCTGGTTACAATGTGGCGAGCTATCTCGTAGACCACTGAGCCACTAGGACCTGGTTCACTGGCCAGTGCATGGATTTCAACTTCTGCGAATTCATGACATAGCACGACCACTTCTTAATGCCTTCTTCCATGAGTTACTGTCTCATCTTCAACCTGCTGCTGTACCCTACTGGTCTACGAGCTCGCCTTGTAACCAGGATATACTGGGTTCGAACCTCGACCGGTGGGTACTTGCTGATGAAGCGTCCCAAAGTAATGGAACGAAACAGCTGTCTGGCAGTACTCCCTGTGGTGGGTTTTCCAATGGTTCTCTAACTGATACCGGCTCATGATTAATTCCTCCAACCGATCAAATAAATTCCCTACAAAACCACTACTTGAAAACTTTATGAGTTGTGATCAAAACTTGACCTCAGACTTACAAATTTTGGTCTAGTTTTGTCAAGCACTTTAAACATAGTCTACTTTACATCAGAATTTTAATGATCTCATTCGACTAAAAGTTCACGGTCGAAGACTGATGTGTGTGTGGGTAAACAGTTAATAAACACTTGTTAGCCTCTCCATAAGAATATATAGGCAATCGGGAATTTCGACCAAGTATGATTAATAAGTAGTGATATATATCCAGTTTTTATTTATTAATCAGGACTTGCCATGAATCAGCTAACATCACACCTTCACGTCTCTTCAAACTGTTAGTATCTAGAATTTTATGATCAGATGTATTTTCAAATTTATGGTGTTAAGGATTAGAGTTTAGTTGAAACACCCCGTCAAACTTATTGCTTCTTCTTTCTGAAGATTGAGCTGCTTTATTCGACCTACTGAAGTTGTCAGGTGACTCGATAGCTACAGAATTAGGATACGCATTCTGTTGCAAACAACGGAGATTGAAAACACGATGATTGCGCCAATTAAATAGTTTGTTAATTTAATTCGATTGCGAAATAATTCAAATGAACTGTTGTCAAGATTTGACAGAGTAGTTCTAAATTAAATTGGGCGCCGAGTGAGATTAATTCCGCTGAAGAAGTTCGGACCAGATTGCCGAATGAAACATTGTTGGAATTACTTATTTCATTTTCGCTGAGATTTTATAAATATAATATTTAGGACAAGTTAAACTTTAAGCACCATTTACTACCGATGGATTACGACCGCACCAATGACCTTGAAACGCTTTCTGAGCAAGTTAGGGAAATGTGGCAGATAATGTTGTCATCATCAATAAAATATGCTCATCGAAGTGTTATGCTATTGAATGGGATATCTGCCAAGTTCCACCTTAGGTTTGGGAAAGATTAAACTACGGTTTATGCCAAGGACAAGTAAGGGTTAGATTAACCTGATAAAGGCGACATTAGGGTTGGTTCGAGTTAGATTACAGTTAGTCTAGGGATATTTTCAAATTAGGGTTAGGTTCAGGAAAGATTAGGATTATTGTTAGGGTTAGAGTACCTAAATAATTACGCACATAAAATGTGGTTCAATTACTCTGTTGATATAAGAATAGAACTTGTGCACTGTGGCACAGTATAATTCCATTGTGGGTTAAATTTATTGTGATAAAGTCTTACAGTGTTATACAGTAATATTTACTGATGACCACGTTTCGAGCACAATTTACTGCTCAGTAAATATTACTGTTTAACACTATGGGACTTTATCAAAATAAATTTTACTCACAATGGAATTACACTCCAGCCTAAGACTGAGAGCTATTTTTATCACATGTGAGAGGAAAGTATCCTTTGCAACATATATACAGTTTTTATGTATTTTTTCATAAACATATATATA